AATAGGGTTTATGGTGGCTCAGGGTCAACGGAGCCACCTAAACCTAACCATTAGGGTTTACGGAGCCTTGGGGTCGACGGAGCCACCTAAACCTAACCAATAGGGTTTATGGTGGCTCGGGGTCGACGGAGCCACCTAAACCTAACCATTAGGCTTTACGGAGCCTCGGGGTCGACAGAACCACCTAAACATAACCATTAGGGTTTATGGTGGCTAGGGGTCGACGAAACCACCTAAACATAACCATTAGGGTTTATGGTGGCTAGGGGTCGACAAAACCACCTAAACATAGGCTTCCAATGCATGATATAACATAACCATCTAATATTCCAGTGCTAACATAACCATCAAATAGTCTTCTAATGCTAACATAATCATCTAATATAAACCTAGTGCATGAGAAATCATAATCTGAAGTCTAGTAAACATAACATAGAATATCTGATCCACCTTCCAATGCATGATATATCATCATTTCAAGTCTAGCAAATAGAACACACAATACTTAATGGAGTTCAACATATTACAGGGTACACAACCATTGTTCACATACATAGTGGAGTTTAGATGCATAGTTCATCATTTTCTCACAAAAGGATGAAAAGCAAATCTACTACATACATACACAACCATAGTTCATCTTAGAGAAGTTCACATTTAGTAGAGCCATACACTACACAACCATCATGCCCAAAAGGTCAGCATTACCCACTAGAGCCATACACTACACAACCATCATGCCCAAAAGGTCAGCATTGCCCACTAGTCTCATATTCATTTTCTTCACTTCTCTAAGATGGCCTGGATCCCCTTGATCTTCTCCTTCAGCTTCTCCTCTGCCTTCATCAGCTCAGCAATCTGAAGCTCTAGCTGCCCCATCTCTTCACCATGCTTTTCCTTTCCCTTAAGCAAATCAGAAACCTGAAACTTCAACTCTAACTTATCTTGGGTGAGCTTCTCCACAAACTTTGTGAGCTATGCATTCTTCAACTCCAAGTTCATCTTAGCTTCACTAAGCAATTCCTTGTCTGTAATATGCTTCAACTTCAGGTTCTGGAAGACTGTAGCTTGAGCTCTTGTCAGGTTCAGTAGCACTTCATAATTCTGATTAAGCTTCTCAGACTTTGCATCTTTCTTTGCCATCTGTGCCTTCATATCAGCCACCAGTTCACTTCTGCATTCATGCTGATATGTAATGGCAGACTGCAGATGTCTGAAATCCACCACCCTTTCCTCCTGAAAGCTCATAAGCTCATGCACATCTTGGACTAGCTTGTCATAGTTGGCCTCCAGCTTGTTCTTCTCTTCTGTCAGATGGCGGATAGTGAAAGAACTTTCAAGATTATCATTCACCCTAGCACTCTTGCTATCTTCAACCATTGCCCACAGCTTCAACAATGCATTTTGCATTGTTGGGGGCCACTGGTGATCAACCCATTCAACAAACCCACAATTCTGCCCTTCCTGCAAATAGAGCAAAAAGATATAAAATAAACAAGTTAGTTCATACAACTAGTGCAAATCAATAGCACTGTTTTTCCTTTCTACATTGGTAATAATAGGACCACTAAGCTACACTGGTAATTGAGATGTATCTACCCACTAAATAACAGCAAGACAACTTACAGCTACAGATTTGAACTGCATTTTGCTAATCAGCTACAAAACAAGAGCAATGTCAAACTACAAACTTGGTCAACTGCCAAAGCATATGCAGTACATACTATCCATTCAACTGAATATTTGTAGCATCTAGATACATAACAGCAGGTGCATCCCAACATAAAAGTAACAGTTCACTCAATATTTAGTTCCAAACAGGAGCAGAAGTGTAACAACAACATAATTAACAGTGCACTGTCATTCAACTACATAAAAATGCTACAACAGCAACATAAAACATGTAGAAGTCCCAAACTGAATATTTCACATGATAGCAAGAACAATGGCACTGCTAAATAACAGTACCAATGTCATTAAACTACACAAGCTACTGCTGTTGCAAAAGTGAATATGCCCTAATAATCAGGCCTTGTAGTCATGTTCAATATGCCACTGTCAAACCAACAAAAATATGACACTATCAACCTAAATATAATATCCCACTATGACCCTACAATTCATACCGGCTCTGCACATGCTAAGAACCTTCTCCCTGTGTCTGTTCCTTCAAATGTGACAAGCCTCTCAAATGCCTTACCGTGCTTCTCACATGGCGACATTGTTTCCAGCTCAAGCCCCTGGTAATCTGGATCTTCAAGCCTGAAAGGGACCTGCCGAAGCTCATACAAACAAAATGCCCAAATCAAAAACCAGCGAAATCAACCAAATCAAAAGGCCCCAAATCTGAAACCCTAACCCTAAACCTAGCTCAAGGAAAATCACCTGTTTATGCCCGTCCGTGGATGAGGTCGAGTGCATGTACGGCGAGGACGTCTCCTCACTGCTTTCGTCTTCGAAAACCATGGCGGGCGGCGGCGGTCCGGTCCGGCCACGCTGCGGGCGGCGACAAGGGCGGCGAGAGAGGAGCGAGGAGGGAGGCACGAACGGGGAGGAAGAGAGACAGAGCACGGGCCGGTCCGGTTCGAGCCGGACCTCACCTATCGAGCGAGCGGGCGGGTGCCGATTCGCCAGCATGGCAGCTGACGCGCGGGCCCGGGCGGTCAGTTCTAGCGTCAGTACATAGAAATACGAAGTTTAGCCCGATTTGCAACGGTATGACCCAAACGTGGTACTGACACAGTAAAAATTTGCAAAAGTGATAC